CATCTGTAGTTTAAACATGACTTATATGTATTAATCCTGTTTCCTGTCATAACATTGCAAGCAAAGTTTTTATATGGCTCATCATTTTATAAAATATCTTTGTTATTTTGAATGAAATAACATTAAGTGAAGAAAGGAAATTGGAGTAAAACGAGGATAAGTACTTTTCCCAATTCTGTTATTAACTTGCTCTGTGATCCTGAGCTTTTCCTGTCTTGTGACTCAGTTCCCTTCTCTCTATAACTAAGAAAGCTACACTTGTCCTACCTACTTTCCAGAGCTGTCAAGAGCTTCACCTTTGCAAAGAAACATCCATACACTTTGGTTAGCATAGAACATTATAGAAATATTAAAGAATCCATGGTTAGAGAAAGCAGACTGAGATAAATGTATGACAACCCTATATTATACCCTAAGCGGGGGCAGGTTTCTATTTGATTCATTTTCAGTAGTTCTTTGCTGCAGCATTAAATTTTTAATAAGTTGCATCTGTTGCCTAAAAAGAATTTGAGAATTGCATCTGCCAATAATCGAGGATTTAACCTAGATTCTAGTTTTTAAAAGTTTCTCTTGGCTGCCATGTAGTGAGTATCTTTTATGTCCTAGATATCATGCTACACAAACTTTCTTTAATTCTTATCCACAGTGGGAGAAAGAATCCTGATTTCTTGCTTCTAATTAACAATGTAGAACTTTATTCTGGTTCTTTCCTGGTACAAGTTAAGCAGTGTAAACATTTGAAAGGTCATGATGCACCTATAGTTAACCTTCCAGCAACTGTCCTAGCCTTTCAATTTTAAGTTATTAAGCAAACAATTAAAACAATGAAGATTAATTTCTTTTAATAAAAAAGAATTTAATTGAGAATCTGCTCATGGTTAGACACTATGTCAACTGCTGAAGACAAAAATGAAGCACACATCATTCTTGAGGCTGCCTTTCTCTTTTAGGAAATAGAATGAGTAAATAAATAAATGCAATACGATGATCTAACAGCTATGGCAGAATTGTGAAAACTGTACCAGGAGACCACGCACAAGGAAGAGACAAAGTCAGCTTGCTGTGTTAGGGAAATTCTTCCTAATGAAGAATATATTTGGTGGATGAAGTAACATTTGTTAGTTGGAGAAAGAAGTGTCGTATCCAGAACCAATTTCCATGTGGATAGAAGCATCAACATAAAAATGTCAATCTTTTCTTGAGAATGGCTGCAGTTCTATTTTGTCAGAACTGTGGGCAGTGGGAGGAGGTGCAAGATGAAAATGGGTTTGGGCCATATTATGAAGGACCTTCCATGCTATTCCCAGGAGTATGGCTTAAGATGCTAAAAGCAATGGGAAAATACTCAAGATTTCAAGTAGGAGTATGATATGATCTATTTTAAAAATTTATGTAATATATGCAATTGGTGGTAGAGTTAGGAAGATGTGGAAAAAATATACATTTTGGAACAAAAAAATGAGGGTCTAAACAAAAGCAGTTCTGAGACTTTTTAGAGTAAAGACATAGTGATCCTTTTGTTTTAAGGGAGAGAGAGAGGGAAGTTCAGGTGCCACAAGCTAATGGTTTAAGTGAGTACTGAATGATAATGACATTAACCTTCATGGGAACACCTGCCTGAGCAGAAAAACCTAAACTATGATTGATGGATTTTTGGAGACTCGGTGTAGATAACTCTGAGGGTTAAAAATCAGGGGTTGAACTCAGTCATAGGGGGACCACCACACAATAAGTATCAGAGAAAAATCCCCATAAGTGTCCAGCAGGAGGAGGGAAAAAATTATTTTGAAATATGCCAGAGCATCCTGTTCTTCTAAATGAGGCCTGCCCTCCAAGAGAAACTATTTTATTAGAGTCCAAGCTGCTGTGGCTTTCTCAGAGAGTAACCTACTTCAGGGCAGAAAAATATCCTATTCCAGATGTAGATGCCTGCTACATCTTTCCATGTGGGGAAAGGAAAATACTCAATTTTAGCTCATTCTAGCCATTCTGCCCCATCTAAGAAGGGAAAAGTCCTGATATTTACTAGTGAAATTCACCATCAGAGACATATGCTCATCTAAAGGCTGAGATCAAATAATAGGACTATAATATACTTTTCCACACATCTAACTACTACATTTAAAAAGACATATTTGTTTACTCTGGTTCCTTTTTCCCCTAAAACACCATGTTCACTATTCAATAAAAAACTGCAATGCATACTAAAAGAAATAATACACAGTTTGAAGAGATTGAAAAAGCCTCGGGACCAGAATCAGATATGGAAGGAATGTTAGAATTAACCAACCAGAAATTTAAACAAACAAAACTATGAGTAATGGGCTAAGGCTTTTTATTTGAAAAGTAGATAACATGCAAGAAAAGATGCATAATGTAAGCAGATTCCTTATTAGTTTCCTCTAGATTAGTGCCCTCTTCTAGGAGTGAGTTTTCAGTCTCATGAGACTTAATAAGTTACTGGAAAGTGGGTTGTTATAAAAGTGAGTTTGGCTTATTAGACCCTCTTGTCTTTTCCCTTATCTGCCCTGTGATCTCTTTGTTTATGCCCACTCCCTTTCTACTTTCTGCTATGAGTTGAAGCAGCAAGAGGCCCTCTCCAAGTGCAGATGCCCAATCTTGAAATTTGAACCATCAGAATTGTGAGTCAAATACATATATTTTAATTATAAATTACCCAGTATCTGGTATATAGCAACATCAATTAAAAAACAAACAAACAAACAAAAAACTAAGGCATGTGTCAGTGAAGCTGGGAATTTTTAAAAAAATGTTTTGAACTAAATGAAAATGAAAATGCAACTTATCAGCATTTGTGGGATACAGTGAAAGCAGTGCTTAGAAATTTATAGCATTGAATGCTTTTATCAGAAATAAAAAACATCTTAGATCAATGCTCCAAGTTTCTACCTTAGGAAATTAGAAAAAGAAGAGTAATTAAATCCAAAAAGGAAGCAGCAGAAAAGAATAAAAATTAAACCAGAAATCAGTGAACCAACAGAAAATAATAGAGAAAATCAATAAAACCGAAAGCTATTTACTTGAGTAGATCAATAAAATTTATAAACTTTTAGCCATGATAACTATAGGGGTGAAGGGTAAGAGAGAAAACACAAAACACTAATATCAGAAATAAAAGATAAGTCATCACTATAGATCCCATGGGCACAGAAGGGATAATAAAGGAATACTCTAAACAAATCTAATTTCAGAAATTTAGAATTTCACAAATTTGAAAAACTAGATGAAATAGACCAATTCCTTGAAAAATACAATCTGCAAAATTCATATAGCAATCTGAATAAACTAATATCCATTAAATAAATTTATTCAACATAAATAAACTTCCAAAACAGAAAGCACTGGGTTCAGATAAGTTCGCTCATAAATTCCATCAAATATTTCAGAAGAAAATTGTACCCATTCTCTATAATTTCTTCAAGAAGATAGAAAAAGATGGTATACTTCCTAAATCATTCTATGAAGTCAACATTAATATCAAAACCAGCCATAGACATTATAAGAAAAGGTCAGGCTAATATCTTTCATAAACATAGATTCAAAAATCCTCAGTAAAATGTAAGCAAATTGAATCCAACAAAGTATAAAAGGAATTATACCCACAGCCAGATATGTTTTATCCCACGTATGCAATGCTAGTTAATTACTAGAAAATAAATTATTGTAATTCATCATATCGAAAAAAGAAAAAAAGAAGCACATAAATAAAGAGATGAAGAAAAAGCGTTAGGAAGAAATAAATAAAACTTTGCAGATAACATTATTTTCTATGTAGAAAATCTGGAAGAATCTATAAGAAAACAAGTGGAACTATAGGCACTTATAGCGAGGTTGCAGAATACAATGTTTGTATTCCAAAACTCAGTTGTTTGTTTATATATCATCAATAAACAAATAGAACATGAAATTAAAAACACAATATTATTTACATTACCATTCCCAAAATTAAATACTTAGGTATAAATCTAACAAGATATGCATTTAATCTTTATAAGGCATAATATAAAACTCTAATGAAGGCTATCAAAGAAAAACAATAAATGGAGAGAGTGTTCAGATTTTTCACTAGTTATACTCAATATTGTCAAGATATCATTTTTTTCCAAACTGGATCTATAGATTCAATATAATTGCCACCACCAAAATCTCTTCAAGTTATTTTCTTTATATTGACAAACTTATCTCAAAGTTCATATGGAAAGACAATAAAAAAATAAATACAACAGAATAGCCTACTCAATAGAGAAGGAAAATAAAGTTGGATTACTGACCCTACCTGACTTCAAGATTTAGTATAAATCTTTATTAATCAAGACCGTGAAGTGTTAGTGAAACAAGACACAAATAGATCAATCGGCCAGAACAGAAAGCCCAAATGTACATCCACATCAACATATTCAACTGATGATTGACAAAGGAACAAAAGCAATGCAATAGTCATTTCAACAAATGGTGGGACAATTGAACATCCAAACGAAAAAATAAAGGATGGGTTTAGATCCAGACCTCCACAGCTTTCACAATAATTAGCTCATAATATATCATAAACCTAAAGTAAAATGGAAAACTATACAACCCCTAAAAGAAAGTATAGGAGAAAATCCAGGTGATGTTGGGTAGGGAAATGACTTTTTAGATACAATATTAAAGCCATGACACAAGAAAGACAATTGATAGGCTGAAAGTAATAAAAATTAAAAACTTTTGCTCTGTGAAATAAATGAAGAGAATGAGAAAATGAAAAGACTGGGAGAACATACTTGCAAAATACATACCTAACAAAGGACAGTTATCCAAAATATACAAAGGTCTCTTAAAATTCGACAGTAAGAAAGCAAACAACCCAATTTAAAAATGGCAAAAGACCTCAGCAGACATCTCATCAAAGATACACAGATGGCAAGTAAGGATATGAAAACATGTTCAATATCATAGGCCATTAAGAAATTGAAAATTCAAATAAAAATGAGACATGACTACTCACCTATTAGAATGGCCCAAATTCAAAATGCTTCAATTCAAGAGTAACATTTGCAACACAGCCATCTAGAAGCCCTCAGTTCTGGTCTTCTCACCCTAGAAAGATAGTCAAAATAATAAACAACTACATTTTGATTAAAGTAAGCAAAGGAAAGTACTTGAGTACATCAAAAGTAGCAAAAACCCTGCAAAGCATATAAACCCAGGATGGCCACAGAGAATAGAAGTAAACACCTGGCCTCCACCACCCTATTTCCAAGCCAGAAGCAGCCAGAACCAGGAGGGAACTTCCTCATGCAAGAATATGTCCTCACAGGCAGTAAGCCCAGCTGAGTACACAGAGCTATGCTTCCCCCTGAAAAGGAGTTAACACTATACGCCACCCACTTCGGTCAACACAGCTACTGTGCTATGCCTTCTTGAAACTGGAACTGCTGCTAGAGGATGTCCTTTTTCAGGGGTGAGTGGCCGCAGCACCCTCTCATTCCAGAGCTCAACCACCCCTACCTGGTGGACCACCATCAATGAGCCAAACTGCTGCTACATCATCTTCCATGGGGCCAAGTTGCAATCAAGCCACCACATCTACCTCTTCTGGTTACAGCTGTCCCCTGCCCCTCAGGGCCAGGGCTGAAGCATGCAAGGCCTCCAGGGAAAATGGTAGCTTAGCCACCCAGAGCTGTCATGCTCCTCCAGTGTGTGATTTGAAGCTTTAGTCTGCCTCCTGGGAAATGGTGCCTTGGCTGTCTATAGCAGCCATGATCCCCTGCACTTTAGCTGCAGAAGTGCCTTGCATCTTAGTAAAAAGTGGCTCAGCCACCCAGAACAGTCATGTCCCCTGGGTTTGAGCTGAATCAACACATCACCTCCTCGTTGGTTAGTGCCTCGGCTAAGCCAAGCAGCTGTGCACCCTAGAGATGGTCTGATGTAATAATCTCTATCTTAGGAAAACAGAACATTGGCTGAGCTGAGACACTCTGCTGTACAGGCCAAACAACCTTAGAGCTCTGCTCTCCTAGAACTCGGCTAACTCCCTAGTTTCTAAACCACTGCAATATCTCCCTTCAAGAACCGAAGTAATCACTGTGCTGCTCCTTACCCTCTAGGTCCAAAGAGATAGCTGTAGTCCACCATCCTGGGGTCTTTGTGCCGCTCTAGTTGGCCTCACAGAGTCTAGGATACTGATGTATTCCACCATTCCAGGGTTCAGAGTCAACATGACAGGACGCCTCATTGCCAGAGGCCTGACTTGCCACTTTCCCCTATTAGCTCTAGTTGCCAAATTGCAGTTGTCCCCTGCTCCCTGAGCCCAAACCTCAAGAACATTCTTTTTAATCCAAAGCTGGAACAATGCTATAACCCGTTACCCCACCTCCCTGCTTAGAGTCATAGCTATCACCTGGTTTCCTAGGCCCACGCTGCTGAGGAGTGCCTCAGAGTCACAGGCACCTGAGTTCTGTGGGCAATCTACATCCACTTGTGACTCATAGAGGTAACCTGAACTCCAAAACTCAGGTGCCACAAGACTCTGAGCCTAGGTCTCTGGCTCCACAGCCACTCTAGCACCCGTACTCTAAAACCCGGAGCAAGTACAACTGCTTATGGCAGTGTTAGACCCAACACCAGAGGGATCCCTTTGGCTTAGTCTTGTTAGAGGGAGGGAAACTGAGAATAGGAAGACCCTAAAAATCTTTGCCATCTAAGACTCTAAAAGCTTACCCTGCTGCTGCCACAAAGTCATACAGCCTAGGCCACAGAGGTATTCACAACCATCACTGACATTGAGTACAGCTGAAGATGCTATGATCCCCTGCACTTTAGCTGCAGAAGTGCCTTGCATCTTAGGAAAAAAGTGGCTCAGCCACCGACAACAGTCATGTCCCCTGGGTTTGAGCTGAATCAACACATCACCTTCTTGTTGGTTAGTGCCTCGGCTAAGCCAAGCAGCTGTGCACCCTAGAGATGGTCTGGTGTAATAATCTCTATCTTAGAGGAATAGAACATTGGCTGAGCTGAGACACTCTGCCGTACAGGCCAAACAACCTTAGAGCTCTGCTCTCCTAGAACTCGGCTAACTCCCTAGTTTCTAAACCACTGCAATATCTCCCTTCAAGAACCGAAGTAATCACTGTGCTGCTCCTTACCCTCTAGGTCCAAAGAGATAGCTGTAGTCCACCATCCTGGGGTCTTTGTGCCGCTCTAGTTGGCCTCACAGAGTCTAGGATACTGATGTATTCCACCATTCCAGGGTTCAGAGTCAACATGATATGACGCCTCATTGCCAGAGGCCTGACTTGCCACTTTCCCCTATTAGCTCTAGTTGCCAAATTGCAGTTGTCCCCTGCTCCCTGAGCCCAAACCTCAAGAACATTCTTTTTAATCCAAAGCTGGAACAATGCTATAACCCGTTACCCCGCCTCCCTGCTTAGAGTCATAGCTATCACCTGGTTTCCGAGGCCCACGCTGCTAAGGAGTGCCTCAGAGTCACAGGCACCTGAGTTCTATGGGCAATCTACATCCACTTGTGACTCATAGAGGTAACCTGAACTCCAAAACTCAGGTGCCACAAGACTCTGAGCCTAGGTCCCTGGCTCCACAGCCACTCTAGCACCCGTACTCTAAAACCCGGAGCAAGTACAGCTGCTTATGGCAGTGTTAGACCCAACACCAGAGGGATTCCTTTGGCTTAGTCTTGTTAGAGGGAGGGAAACTGAGAATAGGAAGACCCTAAAAATCTTTGCCATCTGAGACTCTAAAAGCTTACCCTGCTGCTGCCACAAAGTCATACAGCCTAGGCCACAGAGGCATTCACAGTCACCACTGACATTGAGCACAGCTGAAGATGCTGCAGGGAAGCTATTCTCCTGCATCTACTTGTAACGAGAGCTACCATACTTTCCCTACTGGAACGTGAAGACCCAACTACAGATTGAAGTCTTTCTGTACAAAAGCTACTCACTAAAGCTTCAAGGAAGTATCTTTTTTTAAATATATAAGATGCACAGAAATCATTGCAGGGATAGGATAAATATGAAAAAGCAAAAGATTATGACACCATCAAAGAAACACAATGATTCTCCAGTAATTGACCACAAAGAAAAGGAAGTTTACAAATTTCCTGAAAAGGATTTCAAAATAATGATCTTAAGATAACTCAGTGAGATACAAGAAAATACAAATACACACTTCAAGAAAATTAGGGAAAAAATTCATGATCTGAATGACAAATTTAACAAAGAGATAGATATTATTGAAGGAAAACAAAAACACTTAGAACTGCAAAATTAAATCAATGAAATAAAAATACAGTAAAGAGCTTCAACAGCAGACTAGATCAAGCAGAAGAATCTCTGAACTTGAAGTCTTTTGAAATTACCCCATCTTTCATCTTGATAACTGCGGCACTTATGAAAGTACATTATATATTCAAAAAATGTTTATTGAATTTAATAAACTATAATATCAATAATAAAAGAAATTACCCAGTTGAAGGGAAAAAAAATGAAAAAGAATGAAGACAACTGCAAGACTTATAGGACATCATTAAACAATCAAACTTTTGCATTAAGGGAATTTCAAAAGAATTAAAGACAGAGATAAAGAGAGAAAGCTGATTTAATAAAATAATTCCTGAAAACTTCCCAAAACTTGAAAGTAAAATGGACATCCAAATACACGAAGTGCAAAGGTCCCCAAACATATTCAACAACAACAAAATTATCACTAAGGCACATTATTAAGCTGTCAGAAGTCAAAGATAAAGAGAAAAATTTTAAAACAGCAAGTAAAAAGTATCAGATCATGTATAAGGGAATTTCTGCTAGCCTATCAGTAAATTTCATAATGGAAACCTCTACAGTCCAGGAGAGAATGGAATAATATTTTCAAAATAACAAAAAAGAAAACGACAGTGATAACTGTTGCACAAGAATACAAATACAAATACAAAGCTGCCTTCAGAAATGTAGGAGAAATAAAGTTTTTCTCAGACAAGCAAAAGGAAATTTGTCACCACTATACTTGTATCACACTAAATGCTTAAGAGAATTACTGAAGTCAAAACAAAAAGATAATAATAACACAAAAACATATAAAAGTATAAAATTTACAAGTAAAGATAAATGTATACTCAAATTTCAAATGCCCCAATATTGTTATGGTGAATTCATTCATATGTATCTCTAGTATGAAGAATAAAAGTCAAAGCACTAAAAAATAATGATAGTTACATTAGGTTGTTAAGAAAACCATCATAAAAAAAGTCATATATTGGCACACCAAAAAATAAATTACAACAGGGAGGGTAAAAATCTAAAGTTTTTGTATACAAATGAAGTTAAGTTGTTAGCAGCATAAAATAGTCTATTATAACTATAAGGTATTTTATGCAAACCTCATGGTAACACCAAAGCAAAAAACTGTACTCAAGGAAGGAAGGAATCAAAACTTAGTACTAAAAAAACACCAAGTGACAAGAAAACAAGACAGGGAGAATGAAACAAAGGATCTACAAAACAACCAGAAAACAATTAACAAAATAGCGGTAGTTAAGTCCTTACATATCAATAATAACTGAAAAAATAAATTTTCCATCCAAAGAAATAGAGTGACTGAATGGGTTAAAAGGGATGATATCCAATGATATGCTTCCTATGAGAGACCCACTGTAGTCATAAGGACACACATAGGCTGAAAATAAAGGGATGGAAGAAGATATTTCATGCAAATAGTAACCAAAATAAAACAAGGCTGTTATACTTTTATCAGATAAAATGTACATCAAGTGAAAACCTGTCACAAGAGACAAAGAAGGTCATTATTTAGTTATAAAGGGATCAATTCATTAAGAATACATAATAATTGTAACTATATAAACACCCAAGATCACAGCCCCTAAATAAATTCAAATAAATAAAAAGTAAATCTTAATGGATATGAAGAGAGAAATAGATAGAAATACAATAATAGTAGGTGACTTCAGTACCTCATCCTCAACAATGTACCAATCAAAAAGAGAGAAAATTAATAAGGAAATATTGGAATTGAATTGCACTAGAGACAAAATAGGGCTAAGAGATATATACAGAATGTATATC